TATATTTATTTATTTATTTATTTATTTATTTAAAAAAGTTTGATTCTGACACAATATTGTGTTGTTATCTCTGTGTATGGATCTCTGATATTACACTCCCAATGAACCACTACTGTGCAGTGATCCTCACTTACAGTAATTGATCCTAAGATCTTTATGTTGTTATATTACAACAATATTTTGTTGTAAAGTAATACATTTGACGTATTAGCATTTTTATAGGATAAATGACTGTCCTAAGCACAACCTATAAACATATTTGTCAAAGCCACATGTTTTACCATGTTCTAGAATGATTCCTAGAGCAATTTACTGAAAGGCTATTAGGAAAGTGTAACTAAGTTCATTAAATTCATTCACAATTTGCACACATTCATTCTTAATCTTATACCTAATATGTTGAAAGCAGCTGAGTTGTTTGCATTCCTGGATGTTGCTGTTGGTTGTTTAATATTCTACCTGGTCTCATGGCAAAAACGTACCTGGGGGCACTTTTTCGCGAGATGCGAAATATGTACCAATAAGTACATATCACTGCAGTTTCCAAAATAAATGAACACTAGAGGCAGTAAAACTCTGACACCTTTTATTCCTTTTCACACAAATTTACAGAGTTTTGATTAATAAAGCGTAATTTTCGCACAATTACTTGAATAATATTATGTTATGACTTCAAAACAATTTTAAAATGTTGGGAGATTTGAATGCTTTTGAATGTTAGCATCACACATATCCAGCTTCATATCTATGGGTTTTCATAGCCGGTAGGTTTGTTTGGTAGCTCACGGAGTACGGAGATGTACTTGAGAGATGAGGAGCTCAGGTTCAAATCCCGTAAAACCACGTTTCGACAAAGCACTTCAAATCTGCATATAGGAAAGTTCAAATGGCACGGTTGCATCAACAAATGCGCTTTTATATCAATTTTGCATTTGTTAACACTATCGGGTAGGTTTAGGGTTGTTTTTTTTGTAGGGCATATTTCCAACACGATAGAGCATTAAGTTTTAGCGACAATACCCGGATATTTGAATTCTGAACTGCCGCAATACGTACCTGAAGCAACGTCATAAAAACACAGCAATGGGTACCTATATCAACGTAATAAAAACGTGCCAGGGTTCACGTATTGAACCCGTGTTAGAGCGCCACTCGTGCAGTAAGGTACGTAAAAACGGTGTTGCAGAAAAGTACCCAGGGGTACGTATTTTTATGAGACCAGGTTGTTAATATTGCTATCATAACACAGTTGTCAAATATTAAATGTTTAGCTTCTTATTTACATCTTACATCTCCTTTTTGACCATTAAAACTGAAGCATTGTGCTGAAACTCACTGTCTGCTTCTGTAAACAGAAGCCTAATTTGATTTGATTGGCCATCTCAGTCATTTTGACATTGACAAGCACTATTAGACTGCAGATCAGCACAGATGAGAAAGTAATTGTTCATTATACAATGTCTTTGCAGCACCAAAGTACAGCTGCTATTTGGCAATTATTTCACAAATTTAAAGGGGTCATATGATGCGATTTCAATTTTTCCTAAAATCGACCTGTTTCAGAAAGGCGGGGCATAGAGGAGAAACAATAATGTACAGTATGTGTAAAATAATGTTTATGCAGTTTAAGGTTCAAAAAACACATTTCATTACACCAAATACACAAAATAATGTTCTTTTTAGCAACATCATATGACCCTTTAATTATACACTCTGGACCTCTGGGAAATCAATGGTAGGAAAGGCCCTATGTGAGAACCTTTCCCAGAGCCAATCCTCCCTATATGCAAACTGCGTAGGGCCCCCGAAACACCAGGGGGCCCCCTTTCTCTTTTTCCCTTTCTTTTTTCTCGTTTTTTAATTTGGCCAGCGGTTATGAAAACATGAATTATCTTTTTCTTTTTTTTTTTGCGGTGCGCTGTCGCCCTTTCTACGTAAAAATCAGTCAAATCATGTACCAGTTACAACAAGCTTATTAGGTTTCCTGCATTTACGGTGAGTGCTTTAACTCTTTATGTGGCATAATATCTTGTTTTAATATTCTTTAGGACCCTCAACCTTTCCCAGAGCCAATCCTCCCTATATGCAAACTGCGTAGGGCCCCCGAAACACCAGG